CACCTCTGTACTGTAGATCCCTGCCGATCGCTCCTTCCCTTCTCTCGCATATATCGCACCATCTCTGTGCGCATTACATTTTTTTACGAGACGGATTACCTATATCGACTCCACGTGACCGCACGGCCATCGATGTCACGCCGCACAGCACGTACATACATACAGCGCGTACTGCTCTCTTAGACTTTTATCGTCCAATGTCGTCGCTGTCGACGACTATTACGCACGATGCAACTCGTTAGGACATCAAAAGCGGCAGAGGCATCAACACTAAAGTTGTCTAAACATAAATCTTATGTCGAAAATACAAAGTTTGATCCGTCATCTTATTGATTGATGGCACAATCGGAAATAAAAAGCTAATTCCACATAAAAAAGAAAATGTAGAAACGTCTCTTTTTAACGAATAATTACTGATGAATAATTATTTGAATGCTCTTGAAAAACATTGCAAATATTATGGATTTTTTCAATAAATAATTTTAATAGTTTAATAAATATATTACTGTAATATACATACATATGTCGAGGAGAGTAAAATAAGATTACGTTTGTTACATAAGAGGCAATATTTAAGAAAGAAAGATTTTAATTATGAAAAATGTTTCTTATGCGCCGTAGGCACTGCGAAAAAGAGAACGAGATTATGAACATGAGATGGAGAGACTCGCGAGAGAAAAAATAGCGGCTCAACAGAGATTAGTTGCATTGAAGAAAGAACTCAATGCAACTTGGGATCATATCGACATCAATTCTCTTTTGTTGGAACAGAATCCTGGGACGGATGTGACAGCCGCCAAAACTGGTGAGATATATTTGTAATATTAAAAAAATTAATAAGTTTCGTCATATTCAAAGAGATAGTTTTTTATGTCGTAATGAAAGAATTTTTTAGATAAAGTTCTTCTTTATTTTGAAAGCAGATTTATTTCATCCTCTTTTAGTTATAGTTTAAAAGCGATTAAATAAAAATAAAAATGTGTGGAAACTTTATTTTGGAAAGAATTTCATAAATTTATTTACGATATTTTGTATCCTATTTTCTCTTGAATTTCTATTTTTGATTATTTATCTATTCTCGTTTGAGAAGAAAATTTCTCTGTATCTTTTATTTATATCTACCTAATCTTTCTTTTTTTATTTTATGACAGAAAGTTCATTCTTATCAACATTCTTTATCTAATAAAAATCTTTTTGATAAGTTTCAGAAAATACGGAGGTTGACGTTACTGGATTATCACGGGGTGGCACAAGGTATAGCAGCACGAGCAGTCTGAACAGTGTGACAACGGCCAGTTCCCCACAAGCATTACAGTCCACTAGCACGACTTCCAATATTCATAATCAAGCCCCGACTGCGGGTGTTGTTTGCCAAACGCAGGATCTGAATCTTGCACGAAGCTCCAGAGAGAGTCCACCTGCAAGTGCTTCGACTGCTGGAACGGCACCCGCACCCAGCATTTCTACTCCAGCGCAAGTATGTTCTACTCTAAATGAAATGATGAAGTTATTTTTTGCATCATATCCAAGGCGAGATCATAAATATCATGATTTTGCAATAAACTGGTGCTAAAGCAAGTTACTACGCATTTGCAGAGCCGCTTACAGATTGTTACTGGAAACGGCTTTGAAAGTGCGTGACATGTCTATATCATATTGTGTTTGTCATGTAAATTTGGTATTGGTATTTGTGGTGACACCATCCATGCTCATCGAAGCAAGTTTGTCCCTTCGTGTTTATTCAACTCTTTATTTGGCCTGGATTCCTCGAACGCGTGTATGAAAATTCATATAGCGCACATCAAATTTAAATTTGCTAAAACGTATGTAAATATATCTATAGATTTATTAGATTAAAATTATTAAAGATTGGCATTTAGAAGGCTAGACGGGATTGGCATTTTTATTTCAGGAGAAGGTCGCTACGTCGTCTACCGCCAGTATAGTCCAGCAGCCGCATCAACTGCATCTACCGATCAGTGCTCAGATGTTAAACACGAGTCAGGGTCTTGCGACCATCGTGCCAGCCTTGCAACATATCGGGCCAGGACTAAGGGTAATACCGGGTGATACGCGGCAGCTTTTAGTTACCCACACCACTGGCAACAATGAATCCAGGCCTCTGACATTGGCGGTACAGAACTCTTCGGATCAATCCCGGCCACCGCTGATCGCTGTGCAATCAAACGCTGGAAACGAGCCAAGGCCCGTAGCACTGGTCGTTCACTCATCCACCGCCAACGACAACAGAGTGACATTTGTGCATTCTAATCTGTCCAACAACGACAGGCCGCTAGCCCTGGCCGTACAGTCGTCTGCGAATGATGTTAGACCCGTCACTTTCGTGCACTCGGGAAACGAGGGTCGATCGTTGGTCCTTGCTACGCATTCGCCCGCGTTGAATGTATCGAGTGAGTATATGCTCTTATAGGTAGATTTAATATAAATCTAATCTCGTAAGATCCATGCGCACGATACTTTTTTCGGATTTTTCTACAACTCGAAGATTTCATAGAATGATGTTTATTTTCTCATTTCCGTGCATAGACAGGATATAAGCAAGCTCTTAGACTTTTTAAATAAAAAGGTTTCGTCGCGTTGTAGACGCCCAGACGAGAATAAGAACGGGAGATGCGCAGAACACGCATAAGATGGTCGGCGGTGTAACGCTCGTCGGCGGTAATGGCTCGGAATTGGCAAGACTTCCCGGTGGCGCGGAATTGAATATACTTCCGGCAAATGGTGTGTATAACAACCTGTGTTCTAGTTTCATGGCTATTCGGAATGTGCATTGCTATGAGTTGCCGCTTCAAATTGCCGTACTACGATACGATGCGGCAAAAAAAGCTTGATACATTCATTATTTTGTGATTGCAGGATTAACTTTAAGTCATGGAGTGTCACTTCAAACCGCTACGGGCAAACCAACCTCGACAATGATGCAGAACTCTCCATCTACAGAGAGTATAGCTCACATCGTCGGCCAGCACACGCCTCTCTCCGGTCTGACTCCGATTGTCACGCCGATGACTGTCGTCTCTCAAGGTAATCAGGTGACCGCTCACATCTTAGCACCATCGAGTCTCGCGGGGAAGATGATCACTACTCCCATTCTCAAGTCCGTGGGACAAATGCCGCTTGTAAACGCTCAGTATCTTAACACCACGACTTTAGTGAAACCTGTTGTCGTGGTGAGCTCACCGTCAACGTCGACAGCACCTTCAACAACAGCGGCGACAGCTTCCAGTACACAACCTTCTTCGACCTCGAATTCGACTGTCTGACAGAATCAAGGAAAGGCAAAATTAATCTGATTGCGCTGGAATATCAAAATACGGTTTGCTGGTGTTTCGAGTAAATCTCTACTCTACATTTATCTAAAGTAAATCTATCTTTTGTTATTTGTTGGAATCGCTTAGATATGTTAGTGATAAATTAGCGAGAATGTGAGTGATTTAAATCTGAAATATTTTACGACAGGCAGTAAATATCGTGGAAGAATCTGACGCGAGATTTGTCTATTGTTCTTTTTCTAACATCAAAGTGATCTTGCATTTTAAAACATTATTTGTGTCCCATAAAGATTGACATTCGAGATATGAGCTCTTCCGAAGAATAAATCGACTGAGAAAGTGTGAAAAAAATCCTTGCTCAACACATGTATTGTACACGGTTCCTTAATTTTATTAAGGGAAATAGTTTGTTGTGCATAAAAATTAAATGTAAAGTTCTAACAAATTAATTTACGACTGTAGCCCGAGTGTCAAGAATACGAAAGCTTTCATGTTAACATATTGACAAATTAAGACAAACTTTTAAGGCTACACCAGCTATATCATATGCTATTCAGATCATTGTTTCGTCATATTCTCGATTGGGAATTCTTTCGTTATGCTTACTTTAACTTTTTTTTAAGTGTTTTATGTTACTTCACATATCCCCCCTAGATATTTTTTCTATAAACGAAACGAGAAAAAAGCTTTTTGACTTGCAATAAAACAAATTTTACTTTTTGCATAACTTTTAAATTGCTTGACTGTGTTACGTAAGATCCATAAATTGACAAGTTTCATTATATCTTATTGCAATTGAAAAAGTATCATAAGAAAAAATAATGATAGCAGTACTCTTAGTATTATATTAAGAGAAAACTTTTGAAATATAGTTTGAATTTAATTATTTAGCGAAAGGAAGTTGAAAAATTATGATGAGTTTTTGTGTCGTAAAATTTATAAAACGGCTGTGGAGAACGGATACTGAACTCTATATAGAGGTCTGTCTGTTTAATTTTGACAATTGAATTACAAGATGTATTAAATCTTGTTAAATCGATAAAAGCGAATAAAAGCGAGTTATTTAGAAACTGGCAACAGATTATGTAGGTTTATTATAATACATATTAAGTATTTATTCCTCTGTATTTATTATATGTTTATATGCGTATTATACAAATCGCTATCGCGCTTTTCACGAATGCATAATTGCAACGCGCTACGAACATATTAATTTCTTCATGCTCAGATTTCGTCATATATATATGAAAGGATTTAGAAACTTATATTTTAAGTCGCCGTCATCATTGTAATCTGTCTCGTGAATACGTGTGCATTGTAACGTTTCATGCTTTTATACATTACATTCATTTCTGTAACACAATTCTTGCATAACAACCGAAAATGGCTCGAGTAGAATAGAAGGAAATGATAATGCTCACAACTGTTTGGGAAGCTAGAATGATTGCACGCATTTATCAAACTATTGCACTATTTTTCATTATTTTCTGTATGTACTAGAATTGTCCGATAAATAAGGTATAAATCGAAATAACATCAAACTTTACGGTGACTATGTGAAAAAATAAAAATTTTTATGCAGTTTTTATTGTATTTTTTATTTTTTGAAATAACAAATTTCGATATAAGTAAGAGATGATATGATATTCTATGAAAGTAATAGATTCATAATCTCAAATTCGATTGCAATGTCTCAAGTTCGTACGAGGTTTATTGGAGAGTTGACAGTTGAAGATTAAAGAAGTTATAAGATGAAAGATAAGCTGTTTATGAAATAAGAAATCTATATGTCACTTTTAACATAATTTTAACCTTATTTATCGAAAAATACCTTGTACGTTTGTTTGCTGTTGTAAAATCATACTGTATGCTTCTGTTTGGTATTCCAGTGATGAGATCGTCACAATAATTGCTGGAACAATGAACTCGTTTGAGATACACATTTATCATGTAAAATCACTACGTAACAATTGATATTTTCATTGCGCATGACGTTTATACAACGAGATATCTTTCCGATGTAACTTAACGTGTAATGTTTCCTGCTTTTTCGCACGTTGTATAATTGTTGACGATCTTTCTCTCTTTTGAATACCAGAGCCTTTGTGCATATTATTAGTACTACTATCTTTTACATATTTGCGTACCAGCTTGTTTTGTATCCTTTAAATTATTTAACCGTGAATAGTATGATTAGTGATTCGAGTTAAGATATAAATGCGTGCCTTAAAGGGCTACGAAATCACATAAACGTATTTTGATTGACGTTTAAGGCAGACAGATACTTTGTTAACTCGATAGAAATACGATATAAGAAAAGTTCTTCATACTGTAGATTATACAATTTGTTTATGTTACTCAGTTTACTTCCTTTTTTCTTTTCAAATCTTAAGTTGTTATACTCTATAAGTACACGAATCTCCCAAATTTTCATTTAATCTCGATGCCACTGGCGTCTCAATGGAAAGGAGGAGAAGTTCATCAGTTAAATTAATATGTTTAATAAAATTACTTTTTCATCGTCGTATTACGCGCTTCTTAGTGTTCGGGACATAACAAGAAAATTCAATTTGCAATAAAGACGACGAGAAACCGAAACCCGGTTCGAGGTACTAGTTAAAAATAAAGTTTTGTTGAATTATTTTCGACGCAAACGCTTTCATTCAACGGAACCTCAAGTCGTGCAATGAATGCAAATGATTATACTGCATGTCCTGCGACACACATACACACGCAAGAAATACAAAGCTGTGAACGGGACTAGAATAGAGAAAAGTAGAAAAAAAAAAGAAATGTCATTGATTGTGAAATATCGCCTCTGTGATATTTTACAATCAGCTGTTTAGCCGCGACTGAGACCCTTATCGGTAACTATTTAAGCGATGTAATAGCCTCATGTAAATAATAATTTCGTTAGAGCGAAAATAACCAAACGGGTCGAGACGGAAGATTTACAACGGATGAAAACTAAAGATAGTATAGCACTGAGCACTCAAGCTAAATGAATAATGTGAACAATGTGATATAAATGATAAATAAAAGATTAATTAGCACAGTAGCGTTTAAGGAGAAAAAAATCAACTATTAAATCATTTACAGTGTAGATGCTGGTAACTATCATTTACTAATATCTTAAAAAAAAAGAGAAAGAAGGTCAAAAATTGAATTGTACATAGAAAATATGAAGAAGAGAAAAAGAACGGTAAGGGGAGATAGAGAAAGAAAGAGAGAAAGAAAAAGGGATTGTAAGATAGTGTATAAATATTGAATTTATTGAAGAAAAAAGGGAAAAGGAGAGGAGGAAAGAAAAGAAAGAACGAATATAACGTGATGGACTGTGCCGGATGAAACGCTTGTCATGTTGGTAGTAAAAATCGCCGACACCGCGAGTATCCTATAAATAACAGAATCTACAAATTGTATTAGAACGGCAACGTATTAGAATGACGGATTAAGTGTGCATGAGACTGCATGTTGAAAGTACGCATGTGAGAAAAGTGTGTAGTAAAAACGTTATTATTGTTGTAGTCTATATCGAATTTTGTTATATGCCTCGACTAACATGCAAAACGCATGATACGTCTTACGACGTGGTTTGTTGTGCATAAAAAAGGAGTAAGATGAAGCAAAAATGAATGCTATGCATGTGTGTGAGCGAAAAAGAGAGTAACAGAGAAAAGAGCGTAAAATGGATAATAAAGCGTCATCGAAAAGACTCGATCCGCGCGTACACGCGACAGTTTTTGTTAAAAGAAGAAAAGTGTGCGATGAAATTCAGAGTACAGTCTATTACAATAAAGATTAAAATGTGAGTGTGACAGTTGCCCAATACTCCTTACAGTTGTCTAGTATTCACGCCGAATACACCGATTCGAGACTCTCGATCGATGCTCGCGATGTCCGGAGTAACGATGGTGATCTTGTATTCATTTGTTGCAAAGTGAAGTTTTTCGAATGAATTCGTAATATAATAATATTTAAAAGTTTCCCAATTAAAAGTAACGTAATATCAATGCTATAATTTCACACTCAACAATTAACTTACGTAACACAATGTGTTATATTAAATTTATGTGTTGTATTAAATTTGTGATTAAGTGCGAAATTATAATATTGATGTTACTTTTAGTTCGTGTCGATTGGATTATTTAGCTTAAAAGTTTATTGAAGCAGTTTCAAACGCTCGTATCTAAAAGAGAAAATTGCGTTAACTATTATGTATGTGGAATATATTTTTGAAGAATATGAATTTATAAGATTCGGGTAAGCAAGCTCTTCGATTTTCAAGATAATAAACTTAAATCGGTGTCACTTAACGTAAAAAAATCGAGTCGAGAGTAACGAGTTTGGTGAGGCCATTGTGCGCTTCTACCGCATATACGAAATAAGTAGCGATCGAAAGATTTCAAAGGGAGAAATTTGTAGTAGCGATCTATGCCTCCTCCTCGAATCGTGAAAGAGCAATCGTGTGAAATTATTGATGTGGAGAACCGATTTTCTAACCGCGATTGCATCCGCATTTGGTCTGTCCGCTTGTCAGTCGAGCAAGCGAATTATCCTCGAACTCGAAGGCAGATCGGACCGAGTGCGAAAATCAAAATTGGATCTGCCTTTTCTAATGGCTAGTGTTTAGAGATTAATGGCATGTTCAGATGCGACGCCGATGCGAACGTTCCATCACATTGGCCTGTCGATTCCTCGCAGAAATCTAACCAGGAAATTTTCTAAACGAGTTATAAGTCATTCAAAATTACAACTTGCACAATCTCAGAATCTAAACAAATTCTTACATTTATTTTCTTTGTTATAAGGTGATGCCGCAGAAAATAAATTAACAGCAACATTACATCAATATTACTCGTATAATTTCCCACAGCTCGTAATTAACAATATAAATGTAATATAACACATATTGTACATAACAGTTGCATTGTTGAGTAGGAAATTATAACACTGATGTAACGTTACTGTTGTTATTGTGTTCTACGAGTGTTAATGGAATTACTTGATATTTCCGATTTTGTTTTTATTATAATTGTATTGTGAAAATCTATACTTCTTAACTCAATTTAATGGGAATAATTTTATAAAATATGCATTTTTTTTAATATTCAAAGTTTTAAGTTTTACACACACACAAATTGTCCTAGTGTTATATATTTTTAATGAGATTGTCAAATCATTCAAGACATGATTTATATAATCGAGTAATGTAATAGTGCGTTCGCTGTGCACTGCAGCTGGAACTGCGGATTTCTAGAACTAAAACTATATAGCTCTTATATTCGATTCATACATATGTAAAATCGACTTTGAGATCTGTCTTCTCGTTGAATCATATGAAATCGATCGGCGCGTATGTCTTTCCCTTGTGACTGACTTGCACATAAATAAATTGATGAATAGTTTAGCTGTTGTTTTCTCAAATACGCAGACCCCCTCAAATTTTTATTTGCTTGTGTATAAGGCTATAGCCACACAAATTTGTATAGTTGCATAAACGTATGCATAAAAGAAAATTATTTAATCACATTTTACGTACGACTTTAAAAGAACAACACAATTGGATAATTTTCTTTATGCATATGTTTATACGACTATGCAAGTTTGTGTGGATATACCCTAACGCTTGTTGCAATGCGAAATTTATTTAGTTTGAAAAGAATAAAAGCATTTGAATTGATCGCACATGTCATATATACACTACCACTCATGGAAATTCGGACACCCGTTTAAATTTTACCGAATGATCATGTTAAAAAATTAAGATTTTATAAAACGGAGAGAGAGAGAGAGAGAGAAAGAGTAATTGTATTATTTTTAAAATATATTTTGGATCACTTGTATACATACTAATAATTGCAAAAACTTTGTATCAAAAAGTATTGTCTTTACTTCGTAGAACATTGATAGTATATAATCAATAAATTTCAAAAATTCGCTCAGAGAACACAAATGTAGGCTGATGCTATAGTGTATGTTGCTAATCTATCCCCATAGATGGGGGGTAGACTAGCAAAAGCTTTATAAATTATTTTTAGTTCTATATGTCAAGAGCGAATTTTTGAACCGATTATACTATTAATGTTCTATGAAATGAAGGTAAAATAAAAGCAAAACATTTTGGCATATAAAATTAAAAATAATTTATAAAACTTTTGCAATTGTTAATATGTGTACAAGTGATCTAAAATATATTTAAAAAATAATTGCTCTCTCTCTCTGTTTTATAATGTCTTCATTTTTTACATGATTATTCGATAAAATTTATGCAAGTGTTCAAAGTGTGCATCCTTGGGAATGGAATATCTTATATTTTTATACCATGATGAATTCAGTTATTTTGCTATTTTTTTACTGAGTAGACTTATTTTGGCTGCGTTCGCTCACAGTGCTTGTGAGCATCAATTGTCCTTGTTTATATAATAAACAACAAGGATAAAACGACGCTTAAAGTGTTGTGAGCGCCAAAGCGAACACAGCCTTTATCGTGTATATATATTTTTCCTAATCTAAAAAATTTTTTCGCATGTATTTATGCAAATGTAAGTGCTACAAAATAATTTTTCTTTTTATGGTAAAGATAACATGGCATAGAGGAACGTACTACAAGAATTGATAATATTCCTCCTTTGGCAAAGCTTCATCAGACGAAGAAGACAATACTTACCAAGTCCGAGGAGGATGTTCCAAGCGAAGAAGAATTCGACGAAGATTAGAATATCGACGAATCTACAGTTGAAGAAGTAACGGAATCGGAGCGTGAAATTTCAGGAAGAAGCGTAGGTAGACGTCGAAGTTTTGTTGTCGAGGAAGAAATAATCACAAATGGTCTTTAAATGCTCCCGAACTAAAAGGGAATCTAAGGTCGATGATTACACTAGTTTACAAAAAAAATTTTTTTTTTTTCAATTACTTTGAACCGAACTACGTGTCTCTTATAGATTTTTAAATGCTAAAAACGATGCATCAAACAACAAAATTCTAGCACGTCAGATTTCCAAGATAATTGAGGTTTGATACTTAAAAAAATAGCTTTTTTTGCGATATTTGACATTTTTTAATAAAGAAAGTTAACGTTATCTTAAATTTTCGATCAGGAGTTATGAATGTATTGTTCATCCCCCATAAAATGAATTTTTTTTTATTTCAATACCTTGTTAGCCATGTTATGAACGATTAAAGATAAGAGCTATTTCGAATATGAGGACCGCGGCAGCGTCATATGCGCATGCGGTAATGCTAAAATTATTTTAAAACAACAACAACGCGCATACACACACATAGAGAGAAAGAGAGAATGAGAGGGGGGGGGAGGGGAGAAAGAAGGGAGAGAGAGAGAGTTGTTTTATGAAAGATATGTAGTTGCATATTACTAATTGCATTTTTGTTTTAAGCAGTGATGTATTTTTATTATACCAGTGGATTAGTCTCATAATTCTGTGCATAAAAGTATTAAGGTACAGTTATCCAAATATGACCCTAAGAAATTAATCCGCATACACATATATGTGACGCTGCTGGAGTCACCATATTCAAAATAGCTCCTATATCTTTAATCGTTCATAACATGGCTAAAAAGTAAGGTATTGAAATAAAAAAAAGTGCATTTTATAGGGGATGCACAATATCTTCATGACTCTTGATCGAAATTTCAAGATAACATTAATTTTTTTTATTAAAAAATGTCAAATATCGCAAAAAAAGCTATTTTTTAAGTATTAAACTTTAATTATCTTGGAAATCCTACATGCTAGAATTTTTTCGCTTGCGGCATTATTTTCAGCATCCAAAAATCTATAAAAGACACGTAGTCTGGTCCAAAGTAATTTTTTGCTATAAACTAGTGTTATTCATGTACTTAAGGCTGACCTAGAAGCACAAGTACAAACGTCGCTTGGTAATCGGTCTTTGCTTTTCTCCAATAATATCCTTGAAATTACAGTCAGGTTCACCAACGAGGAAATAAATAGAAAGATTGTAAACGTGTTAGATTGAGCATACCGGGAAACAGATATCATAGAAATAAAAACTTTTATCGGAATCTTGTACTTCTCGGAAGTACAAAAAAACGACTTTACGAATCCAAAAGAAATGTGGTTAAACGAATTTGACTCGAAGTTGTACAGATATGTCATGCCGCTTCTTCGTTTCATATTTATGAGCTTATATCTTCGTTTCGATGACGAAAACACAAGAGCAAAGCGGAAACTCATCGATGGATTGGCCGCCATAAGGGAAATATGGGATATTTTCATCGCTAATTGCACTAAATATTATCCCAGCAAACACAAAGTTACATATAACGTACCTATTAGTTATATGTAACTTTGTGTTTGCTGGGATACGTCTTCTCAGAATTGCACTATCGACGAACAACTTGAATTAATTTAGAGATAGATTCCATGCTAATGTGTACACGCACCGGCAGAAATGGTGTCCCCTCGGCGTTCGGCGCGCGGCGCCACACACTTGTACCGAAGCACACACGTACGTGTTACTGGGAGCGCGGGGGCGAGGAGCGCGAAGGGAGAAAGTAGTGGGGGGCGCTTCGATATTCTATCCTTAGCG